TAGAGTGCTGTGTAAAAAAATAAATTTCTCTAAAGTTTGATTCATTTAATTAAAGATTGACGTAATTCATTTATAACTCATTCCTTGTTGGTCAAGATGTGAGCCAGATACGGTAAAGTGGAGTTTTTATAAATGTTTATTCGAGAGGGTAGGTACCGATAAGAAGAACGAGTGATGGAGTTGGAGCTACAAGAAGATAAGTCAAAATGCAAAGGACGGGCGGGGTCATTTAGAATCTTATTGACAAAGGTCATACAAGACTTCATATGACCAATAATAAGTTCTGTGATTAATGACTCGAAAAAAATTAAATTGTTAATTATTATCATTATTCTACGACGGACAGTTTTTAAGTCTTGTTTCAATAACCCTCGAAACACCCTAGGGGAGCAGTAAAGTAAAATTGGGAGAACGCATTGTTTAACAAAAGAGAACGAAACATTTTGGGGAGTGCGAATTTGTCTGAGCTTTCGGAGCTGAAAGGAGAGGCACAGAAGTTTTCCCATACAGTTCTGAATATATGTCGACCAGCGAAGATTATTATCGATAGTAACACCCAGATATTTGGCTGAGGTCACTCTAGACAAAAGGTTACTATTAAGGGTTACAGAGTCTGACGGGAATGTAGAGCGCGAAGAACTAAAAATGCACTCCAAGCACTTGAATGTGTTAAGATTCAGGCCAGACTAGTTTGAAAACTGTTCAATTCGGGACAGAATTTCAGTGAAGGAATAAAATTCCGAAGAAGAAGAAACGGCCTGACATAGAGCGACATCGACAGCATACTTGTGGATATGAGCAGGATGCGGAATTGAAAGATCAATATTGAAAGCAGAGAAAAGATACGAAGAGAGGACAGCACCTTGAAGCACACCCGAATTATTGACTAGAGGACTCCAGGTATTCCCGACCAGGTTTGTGCACTGGGTTCTTTCGGTGAAATAATCGGAAAGCCATGAAAGCAGCTGTCTCGGGGTGCCAAAAGATTCAAGCTTAAAAAGGAGAAATGACCGGGATGCAGAATCAAAAGCAGACGAATGATCGAGAAAAACGTAAGGAACAGATTTGGCAGAGCTGCTCAATAACTTGTTGATAAAATGGACCAGAGTAAACACAGCATCCAAAGTGGATCTGTTGGTTTTAAAAGCGAACTGAAGAGGATCATGGGAAATGTTGGCAAGTGACTGTAAGCGACTCATGATGGCTTTCTCAGTCAACTTTAGAACTACAAACATCAATGGGATGGGACGAAAACATTTTGTAGGAACGTTGAGGATGAGGTCTTTGGAACAGGTATTATGTTCAGTGGTCCCCAGGAATCGGGGATCATCTATGCAGAAAGAGACAGCAATGTGGGATGTCATCATACTAGTTGACTAGAGGAGCTGCTCCAAACTTCAGTTCAGTTCAGTTCTTACAACCATTAACCAAACCTAAGAAATGCTGGAGAAAGATCATTAGGGCCCGCAGATGACGATGGTTTGAAGGAACGTAGAAGCTTAAAAATTTCATCATTGAAAAAAAGGGAACGGATCAGAATTAGAAACTTCACTTGGGAAAGAGGGTATCTGTTCATCGTGAGACGGATGATGAAATGCAGCGTTTAGGCTATTTACATCAATATCACCGTTCACGTTTTTCCTTTTTTGTCCGCAGAGAAGACGTATTCCTTGCCATAGAAGCCTTGTGTTTTTTGTTTGCAGGATTTGGGAAGCGAACGACTTGTTTAAACGTGTAATCTCAGCCTTAGTTAAGTTGGAATAGTACTTTACAGCAGCCTTCGTAGTGGGTTCAAGCGAGCAGATGCAATTTTGCCGTCGCAAACAAACAGCGTTTTCATGGGACAGCAAAAATAAAAAAACGATTTCATTGTTTCGGCGAAAAAACTGATACAATTAAGAAGTGATGAACAAAAAGCAAACTAAGATTGGGCAACTATCATGGAACGATAGAGAAGAGAAATGCGGGTTGATGAAAAGTTACGGAAATGAAACCTTATCTGGTTTGATCGTATGAATGTTGGATATGCAGAACGAGAGTATATCTTTGGTCTTAAGAGGAGAACACAATGATCACTGGTTTGATAGAAAACAAAGTGGGATGGCTTTTGATTACCCGGTCAAGTATAGAGCTGCATCTGGTAGGAGAATGAGACAAATCGGACAAGCCAAAAGAATGCATAGGGAAAATACTTGCATGGTTGAAGTCACCAAATGAAGATTCTCATCTAATATTGTAACCAAAAACGGCATGTATTGATCAAAGAAAGAAGATATATCTGAATGGGGGTATGGAGGTATGTGTATAAACATTAGTAATAATTGTACTTTTATATCGGGAAAATCCGGGATTACAAAGAACGGATGAATAGTCAATGGATTTTTCAGAATAGCTCAATACCACTTCAGATTTACACTAAGAAGTGTTGATATACCTTGCCACAACGCCTCCAGTTTTCTTTCTGCTATGTTGTCTATCCTGCCGATAACAGTCGAAGCCATCTACCTGCACGCGAACATCCTCAGCGTTTTGATTTAACCAGGTTTCTTGTATGCATGTGTGTTGGAATGTATGCGTGTGTTCAGTAAGGAAGTTAAATCCGAGATCTTTGCGAAGAGAGAGTAAACGTTCGTACTGATTAATGACAGCACGGTCATCTGGGCAGGAGGGGTGCTATTAAGCGCATACTGCCATCCAGCACGCTTGCGCTTCTTGATCCAAGCATGATTGCCAGATTCTCCAAGCATATTGTTTGTATGAGGCATAGAATTAACAGATTTCAACCTAAGTATATCCTGACGAAAGTCAGTATAGGTCCGGAACATGTTGACATCGAGATAACCATAAAATCCAGTGAGACGAGGAGCACACAAAACGTAGTGCAGCCAATCGAAGGGCGCGAGCCTTCGGTTATTGTTTTAGATATGTTGTGACTGATGTGGATTAATGCCATATTCAATCCTGTGAGTGAAACTTGAAATACTAGAAGGAACAAACGTGATGAAAGTCAGGGTATTGCACGCGTTTGATGTATATATATAAGTATAACTTATGGGAGCAATAAGTGACATAGGAACCTCTGAGTGAATGGTTGCAGTACATGCTGGTAAAAAGCAATGAAAGATTATACGTAATTTATGAAGAAATAATGTGAAATCTATTTAGAACGCGGACAATAACATACGGTCTTACTGGGTATAGTAGTGCCCTATATCTCGCGGAGAAAAACTGGGTAGTTTCTCCGTTTTTAGCGTCGAGCTCTCGTATTCAAGGATCTCGTTCATTGAATTTTCACTTTAATTGGCTTTTATTTGCAGGAAAATGAGTATATAGATTGTACCGTGTGTGACCGATCGAAACGAGTTTAATCAGCGAGCTCTAACCGCCCCCACCCCCACACCTCGCAATGTGCAATTAACATTGATGTTATCTTCCCCACAAAGTGCCAAACACTCGTTTTGTTGCAGCTCGTTTGTCTGATCAGCCGAGTTCTAATTGAAATCCTAATTTGACCTCATCTTTTTTTGTCTATTCTTCAGTCTAATTTTTACCCAGTTTCGTGGTATTTGGACGAAGGTTGTCGAACTAAAAGCATTCCGTCTTTATTCAACGGCCAATCCGGAGTGGTGGGCTTTTAAATAGGCAAACTTCATGCTCAAAGTGACCTAATTTTCCGTTAGGAGAAGTGGTCATTCACTCTCGAGGACTGAATTTTCGGATAAACAGCGTGCGCACACACATACGCACGCACGCTCGCGCTCTGTAGAATGTGTGCATTATCTAACCGGCATGGCCGGCAGTATGACGGTCTACTGCGAACATTGAATGACCATGGTAAGGTTTCCCCTTTGTAGCTCATAATTCGGTTCGTTCGTGTCAGTAAAAGTGACCCGACTCAACCTGACCCGACACGACTAACCACTATCAATCTTCTGTGTGCTATTAGTGGAATAAGAGCCATACAAGCACAGATAATACTCACCCAGGATAGTACGGTCAGAAATGCACATATGCGTGAGGGTAGTAGTCCAGCCAAAACTGAACGCATGTGCGCGGAGTATCACGGTAGAACAACTCCAAACCCTTGTCAAAAAAAAACAATCCAACGGACACAAGATGGGATAAGAAAAGGCATTCATCCTGGAACTCAAACGGAGGAGAAGAATACTACACCGGTTTGACCGGTTCAAGGGGACTCAGCGCAAGACTGCGGCTCACCGAGAACAACTAACTATCTGATGGTCTAAACAGAAGCTTGCTTGATTACGTTTGTACCTCCCGATTGCGCGCTTGTCTATCCACCCACGCCAGTAATCCCATTATTTTAGTTATTTTATACGAACTTTTTTCTGTCTGCAAATTTGTCCGACAGACAGATGGGCAAAAAGTGCAACTTTGAATTAGTTTAACTTGAGTTGCATCAAAGATAGAATGCGTTTTAAAGATAAAAGTGTAGCTTAGGCCTTACGAATAAAACTTATCTTTCCTCCTAGTTTTATTAAACATTTTCATTACTTTGTTTCTATCAAGCACCTCTCGAGCAAAAATAAACAATTCACTAGTTCTTGTGTTTGGCTGGTTTTCTTTTCTTTGTCACCGGATCCGTGACCAAAACCGGAAATCGGATTGATCATCGCCCGATATCTGTTTGGGTTTCGCCGATGAACCCCGACACTGCTTGATGGGGTGCCAGGACCTGAAAACAACACTATGCGAACAGACACGTGGAACCGCAGATTAGTCACATTTTCTGCCGCAGACGTAACCCACAGTTTCGTTCCAGTGTGATTGAATTGAGCAAGGATCAGACCGATCCTGTACGTTCATTGCAATCTCTGCCGGCCCACCCACCCCGCTCTCTCACACACATACACACACAAACACTTGATATCAAGGTCAACATGAGCGGTTGTTCGAGTAAATAGAACGGTGGAACGGTGGAATGATTATGGGAATTGGTCGCACACAGCCCGCCAATCAGATGGGGAAAATTTGAACCAATGATCGTCCTGATTCGCTTATCCAATCCGAATCTGATGTGCAGTCAACGCCAAATCATTCCAAACGGTACGATCGAGTCATGTGTGCATTCCTATGAGCATTCCGTTTTCCTAAATCCGATGGATATGAATAGCACAGATTATTCCTCTTGGAATGATACGCTAACTTTTGTACCGTACAGTCTATTCTATTATTCGTTCATCTATCGTATTGTTGGTACAGTCGCCCTGGCATTCATACTGACCGTTGGACTGATCGGGAATGGTCTGGTCATTCTGGTCGTGGTTATGTCGCCGGGATTGCACACACCGACCAATTGTTATCTGGTCTCCTTGTCCGCCAGTGATCTGATTGTCCTCCTGTCCACCACCACACTCACCATGAAAGAATTCTACATGCCAGTTGGTCAGTGGGATTTGGGTCAAACAGTGTGCCAGATCGCCGTGTGTATTCAATACCTGGCCGCCGCGGTATCCGCACTCTCAATCTGCGCGTTCTCCATCGAACGATGGGTCGGAATTTGTTATCCGATCCGGGCACAGTATATTTGCACAGTGAATCGTGCCGTACGGATCATTAGTGGGATTTGGATTTTTTCCAGCCTCTACAATATGCCTTGGTTGTTCATGACCAGTACAATTGTGATTCCCAGTGGTAATCCATCCGTACCCCCGTACGAGAAGTGTACATTTCGTTTTCCACATACCGCCTATCAGGTTGTGTACACAGCCGATTTCATCCTGTTCTATGTTGTCCCCCTTCTGGTCACATCCATCATGTACATCCAAATTTGTTGGTTCCTGTTCCGTGGCCATGAGCACAATTTGACCACATTGACTAATGCCACTCGACCGGTGGTCCCTACGGCGGCCGACTGTACGACAAATACAATGAGCACCGCACTTTCACAGCAACATATCCAAATGTGTCATTTGTTGAGTCGCGTTCGAGCTCGAAAACAAGTGAGTTGTTCATCCCCCCGGAAATCCCTATCTCATTCCCATCCCGGGGGGAGGGTGCATACAACGGGGATGATTACTCCATGAAGCTTAGTTTACTGTTTAAAAGTACATTCGGCGAGGTCATCGAACCGTATGGTTATGCAAGTGATATCCAGATCAAACGTAACAGTATGAGATTTTGTTGAGTTCAATTTTACTTGACTAAATTACAATCCACAGTGTTTTTATTGCATCCTATTAGTATTAGTATTATTATTTCCCCTGTAGGATGATGTGCCTCATGCCAGGAACGAGTTTCTTATGGTTCAGCCACGAAGTACCCTAATTTGGAGATAAGTGATACACAACACAAAGAACAGGCAAACTTTCTCATTGCGGAGCACTACGAACGATAAGACGAATGCAATGGAAACCGATCAAAACCCGATCAATAAATCGTGATCCGGCGAACCAATTGAACCTCTGACATGCGACTGGGACATTGACTTCGGCGAACGCATGCACACACCAATGAACACTAGGGAATATATATTAGTCAAGCGACCAAGGATGAAGCCCCTCAGACTTGTCATCAACGGGACGAGTGAATCCTGTGGATCGGTGGGAATCCTACACGGACCATTCATATCCAGTTGTGGAATGCAAGAAATATCAATGAGTAATCGAGAAAACAACGAAACAGGGAGTGTGGGGTAGGAGAGGAACGTACTGGAAACTGAGTCATAAATGGCGTTAGCCGATTAGGTCAGTGTTGAATAAAATCGACAATTTATGCATATCTGTGTCGAAGTCCCAGTGAATATTTCCATACAAACTGTCACTGAACCACACAGAGTATGACAAAAAAGCAGCCTAGGCCAATCCACGTAGGAGTCAAACAAATTGCATACAACTAAGAACTTTGGAAGTCGGGGGACACAGATCATAAATGATCATACGGGATACACGGTTGGTACGATCGCGTAGTGCACAGAGCGGACGGCAACTCCAAACAGACTTAGTGATACACACATACCTATTCGAATCCAGGTGTTTATACATCTCGAAGTATGAAGAACCGAACCGAACCGAACCGAACCGAACCGAACCGAACC